CATAAGTTTATGTTTATTTCGTACTCTAAGGATGGTCCGCCTAACATAATGTTTTTGAAATCTACATTAACCTTAGTTTTGTCATACCATAGATATCCATGTCATCCAAATCTCAAATCATGTCCTTCTAACTCTAAGAGCCTTCTGTTTCTTAACAACACCCACTCTTTCATCCAAACTGAACAACAGGCAGCAAGGTATAATTTCAAATCCTTGTATCCTCCTCTTTCTTTTGCATTTTGTAGTACCTTATATTTGATTCGGGGGAGAGGGGTTCCCCTGTTATATTAGCTTCTTTCCAAGTCTCTGGCATTTTTCTATCCTGTAAAATAGAATTCATCATATTTTGTAAAGATTGTAAAAGTTCGTCCTCAAACTTGATAATCCATCTGGCCCAGGTACCTTCCCTGGTTTACTCTTTTTAGTTACTTCTGAAATTTCCCTTATCGTTATAGGTCCATTCATAATTTGTCTTTGTTCTTCTGTAATCTTTGGTAAATTTTGTTTTCTCAGATGTTCATCTATTTTCTCCAATGGAATATTATGTCCTTTATACAAATTAGAGTAGTACTGATAAAATGTTTTTTGTATGGCCATGTTATCCGTTAATCCATCTCCCTCTTTTAATTTCAATATCATTTTCTTCTCTTTTTCTTTTTACAGTTTGTAAGCCAACCATTTTCCTGGTTTATTCACAAATTCAAAATTTCTTTGCTTTGCATAGTTCAATTTTATTTCCATTTCTCTTATTGTTAACATAGATAACTGTTGCTCTAAAATCTTAATTTGTTGGGAGATATTTGTATACCCAGAGGAGTTCCTTAATTCTTCTTCTTTTCTTTTAATCTCATCCAAAATATTTTGTATTTTCTCTTGCCTCTTTGTCTTAAGTTCAGAGCTGTATTGTATCAGGTAACTCCTAATAACGGCTTTGCTTGCATGCCATACCATTCTCATGTTAGTACCTTTATTTAAATTATTTTCAAAAAATTCTTTTAATTTCTTTTTATAGTCCTCAACAATTTCATCTTTCTGTAACAACACTTCATTTAATCTCAATCTGAAAGAGTTAGATTTTCTTTTATAAACCAGACTCACAGGATTATGGTCCGAGAAAGTCTTTGGTAAAATCTCTACCTTAGGAATTTTAGTAGCCAAGTCTCTTGAAATCCAAATCATATCTATTCTTGATCTGTCTTTCTGAAAAATAGGCATACTCTCTTGAACTACATTCTTCTGTCTCCATAAATCAACTAGTCCTAAATTGTCCATCAGATGAAAGAAAACTTTTGGTAATTTACCTTGAGTAATTTTAACATTTTTCTCAGAAGTCCTGTCCAGTTGGGGGTAGACCATTTCATTCCAATCACCCATCAAACACCAATGTCATAAGTAAAGTGCATTAATAGCTCCATAAGTTGTTTATAAAAGTCACTTTATCTTCATTTGGGGCATAAACTCCCAAGACCTGGTTTTAACCCATATAATGTAACTTCTACTACAACAAATCTACCATGTTCATTAGTTAGTACAAGTTCTGGGTTTAGTTGAGGATTAATATACAAAACAACTTCATTTCTTTTATTAATATTTGCTGAGATAAATTCTTCACCCAAAGTTCTTTGGTCAAATATTTTATATCTTTTTTCCTGAAATGAGTCTCTTGTAGGCAAATAATACCTTGAATTTTTTCAAATAATGAAATATTTTTTTCCTTTCTGAGGAGCATTTGCTCCATTTATATCCCATGTTAAATATGTGCTTACCCAGCCCAAAAATTTAGAAAAGTCCATGCCTGTAGCGCCTAATTCAGCATCATATTTCAGTTTCTGTTGCATCTGTTGTGATTGTTGTGTAAGTTCCTCCGAAACCTCTATTTCCATCTCCTCCAATTCTCCTTTATATTTTTCTAAAAAATCTCTTGCTTTCTGAACAGAATTGTCTAAATCTTTGCTGTTTAAAAGTAAAAATCACACCTTCCAATTTATCCCATCGAAATGAGGTCTTTTTCTGTTTCAATTTTTTAGCCAAAAAGGAATATTCTTTTCTCCTACATAAAATTCTAATAGGAATCTCTTTCAAAACAATTATATCTGTATTATCCATTTTCAATCTTGTATTAAAATGTTGCTGCCCAACAAAGGGCATCAAAATATCTCTAGGGACATCCCTCAACCTGGCAAATCTGGAATTTATTCTATAAATCTTATCAATTTCTGCCTCCATATCTCCTTCTTCTAGATCCAAAAAAATTGCCAAAACTTTAATAAGCTGCTTTCTAATATTTTCATCTGGAATCTCTGGAACAGCTCTAAATCTCAAACAGAATTCTTTCTCTCTCAATTCCAGTAAAGCCAGGATATTCAATTCTCTTTCCAACTCTGACTTACTCTTTAAAATTTTCACTCTATCACTCTATCTAAATGTTACTGTCTGTCTGTGCCTTATCTTTTATTATGCAAATTCCATCAATCACATAGACTTTTTAAGGATAGCTAGCAGCATTCCCACTTTTTAGCTGGCTTAAGCGAAAATTATAGCAAAGCACTTTCATCAAAAGTAAAAATAATAAAAATAGGAATAGAAAAATAGGAAGAAAAAAAGATCGTCCCCTTGTCCATTTTAAAAACTTTCTTATATCTTCTCTTAATTGAGCTTTTTCCAAATAGTTCTTGAATCTTTAGATCAAAGTCTCTCTTGGTTTTTTTTTTTTTTTGTAATCTCGAAAAAAGGTTTAACTCACTACAAGGAATCTTATCTTTGTTGCAGAAGAAATCTCTCTTCATCTGTAATTAATTACTTCCCAAGCTGATTAAGAAGTGGGGAGAAGCAAGGCTGTAATGTCCATAAGGTTCCACCACAGTTAGGAGCATAGTTGGAATTCCAGGTCTCCCAGCAGCTCAACCTTCATGCCAGCTGCAAAAACTTTTCAGTTTCTGTAGTTAACTCAGAAGGAACTGCCTTCCAGAGTACATATGGTTTATCTCTCGATCTTCCTTTGATCCAGGAAGATTGCACTGGCTGGAATTCACCTCCCAGCCAGCATTCTCAGCTGCGATGGCTCTCTGCACTTTGGAGAGCATCCTCCTGTTATTTTTCCCTACCGGAAGCTTCAAAAGAAACCTGAGTGCAATCAGTGTATAGAATTTATCTGTAAATTGTTAGTTTTAAGTTCTCAGCTTCAACTGTTTTATTTCTTTATTAGATCCTATCCATCCAGTGAACTCAGTGATTTTTCTATTCTGTGCCTTTTATTTTGTTCTGAACCACCAAGTATTCTGTGACATAGGGTAGCCTTCATGACAAGCAAGTAGTCCAACACCAGGCAATACATGTTATGCCTTTATCTGGATCTTCCCAGTTCTAACTGGTACATCATACGATCCCCTGTCCAATCTTTCCATTATTTTTGTTAATAGAAGCCAGGTTCACATTCTGTCATGCAAAATAAATGTGAACTTCTTGCTCATAATGGGTATGTTTGTACAGCTTTGGTTTCTGATGTTATTGGCTTCTCTTGCTTTATTATAAAGCCCATGTTAAGGGTAGATAAAAGCTCTTCCCAGCAGGCAAATGCATCATAAATTATTTCGAAACATTACTATCATGATCCTCCTCCTCCAAATTCATTAGCTCATGTTTGACTCGAAAAAAATATTGGTGTCATAATGTACTTTTGTATTATATAATCTAATAATGAAACATCTTATATGCAGTCTTCAAACAGAAAAATACCACAAAGTTTCTTTCTAACTTTAGAGATTGCATACCTTTCTGCATGAAAGCGCAAGCTTTTCATTTGGCAGGAAAAGGGGGGTAAGGGCATCTAAAACAAAAATAATATGAGTGTGCAAGATTCTTCATACCAGAGAACAATTAGAAACTGTTTGGAGGATGGAGCAATGGAAGAACCTTAAACTTATGAAAGGCTGATTCATGCAGGCCAGTTGCTTTCATGTGGTCTTTCTGAATGTTCCTCAATATACAGGAGTTTTGTGAAGAACTACATTATATAAAGATGTTATATGTGAAGAAATATATGTTATTATATATGCAGTAATCTATTATATTCAGATAACCCACTGCTATTTCTGTAATGGTGTACTGGTTAAGGGGGTTGACTTGACTAGGGAAATTCAAATTCCAGTCTCTGCTCAGTCACTGAGCTCACTGCGTAACTTCAGGCTAATCAGCTTAGCCTATCTCACAGAGTGATTGTTGGGAGTATAGATCAGGATATTTCCATCTGCACCAGTTTGAATTCCCAGATAATTGAGACAGAAGGGTAATAATAAATAAAATAAAAATTGCCAAAGCACCCAAACTTGGAAGGTATGGTACCCTCAATAAGGCTGTATTCTTGGTTTGCATGGATGGGTGGATATGGGTGGGTTTCTTGTACCAAGCTATATCAAGAATGAGTCTGGAGCTTCATCTACAACTTCATAACATATGGATTTCTTTTCAGGCAAGACAGCTGAAGAGCTATAATGCCTTTAGAGCATTCTTTTATTTCTACTTTGTGTTGCTCAATCAAACTGACAAAGAGCAATTGTTTGAAAAGTTTATGGCAAATACCCACACCTTTCTAAGAAATGCTAAAGCGGGGAAATACTTTGTTTTCTTAGATTTGATTTATACTGCATGCTTTTCAGAGGAAAATAATTTGTTCTCTTTTTGAGTTGATGTGAATAGTTGTACATACCTTATACATGAAATGTCATTTCCATACCAGGGATATAGGGCACATGCATTCCAGTCTGCAAGATCCCCAGCTGAGCTTCTGGAAGCTTCAGTTAAAATAATCCCAGTTAATAGGGCCATCAAAATCCTTGAAGAACCATTGCTACTGTGAGTTGATAGTTGTGGGCTAGATGAACCAATGCATCTTCTTGTGTAACTTTCCTGAACATGATATAAATAACCAAAGGAAGCTTGCTAGCCAAGATAAGAAACAAATTCCTTCTATGGGAAGTTCATCCTAGCAGGCACGTCCATAGAACAAATGAGAAATCAACTGCAGACTTACAGTTCTCTTCTCACAGTGGATTTCCTTTTTCCCTAACCCATGGAACTTAGAGAATGGCAGGAATGGGAACAAATAGAGAAAGACACATAATGAAATATCTGAGATATTTTTTCAAGTTTTCTGGTTTTTTTCAAGTTTCATTGGGGAGCAAGTCTTCAGACTTTCTATCCAATCTTTAAAGCTCTATACTATAAATTCTTTGTTTTACATCCTGTTTTGTATTTTGGACTGGTGAGAAGACAATGTCCTGAGCTTGCTGGCCAGACAAAGTGTTATTTATTAGTTAGAGGACTTAGAGCACAGTTGCGAAGTCCCCACAAATGCAGAACAACTGCTGAGCCCTAGTATTTGTGCCAAGAGGTCTGGCAAAACCAGGTTCAATCACAGTATTAAAACTTGAATAATGTGTTTTTGGACATAGATGGATGGATGGAATAACTCATTTTTCTTTGGTGTTGTGGGCCAAGTCACGCAGATCCTTAATATTAGGCTGGCAAAACTCCCATTTGTACTTGGTCTCAGCATGGATCAAGGTATTTTCAGGATTTGATCCTACATTTTATTTCTGAAGAGTTAAATAAAACAGGAATGGATTGCATGAATTTTCAATTAAACATTATGAAGACATAAAAGTGTCTGCCTTTCTAATGTGGCTGCTTCCACTTTGCAAATCTGGAAGATGCATCACATGGATGCTTTAATAACATCAGTTTGCTTAATCTGTGACTGTATGAGTAAAATATTCCCACTGCATGATGGAACTTCAAAACAGAGGTAAAATGCATTAAATATTATAGCTCAATCTGTTATGGGCATGGAAGGCATTTGCATATAGAAGGAGAAGTGAGGTAACATTGATAGCCTCAGCCCCAATATTGTATGGTTGGGCTAATTCATGCCCAGGGACTCTTGAACAGAGGCTCTTGAAAAGAAACCTAATGAGTGGACTACTGCTCTGCACAAGTGCCATAGGGCTGACCTGCATAACCAACTGATTGCTAACCATTTCTTGAACGTAGGAATACATGATGTTGTCCTCTATATAACTCCACTGATAGAAATTGAAAAGGTGATTTTTTTTTTTGGTTATTAATTAATAAGAGTTCTGCAAGTTTCATAGCCAAAGTGAATGGAAGAAAAATAAAACTCTGGTGTCTTCTTTCCTTTCCATCTGCTGGTGGATGCCCCAGATGGGAAGGTGTCAAGTACAAAAAGTAGTTGGTGGAAGAGGACTCATAGCAAAGATCTGTCAGTGAAAACCATATGACCACAAAGACTCCCCCAGGGAAAGGAAAGCAATTGGTGCTTGCTTCCCTGACTCAGATGAGAAGGGCAAAGAGGCAAGGAAATCTACCAACTAGTGGGTGTGGTAAACTAAAGCAGAGGAAGGGATTGAAATCTGGAAAGGAATTTCTTAATCTGGCTTCATTTTCAGCTGGTCTATATACAGGAGTCAAGCAGCTTAAAGCTGCAGTATGAAAAAGGCCCTTCTCTCACGAGTAGATGAATATGCCGATCCTTTGTGCCCATGCTTTGGAACAAATGTCATCAGTCTAATAAGATGAGTATAAAATCCTTAGAAGAAATATTATGCAACTAGCAGCTTACCTTGTCAAAATATTAAAGTTGCAGGCCTACACATTGTAGTGCATATATAACCAGCAGGCTTTAGAACATGGA